TTATTTTAAAGTGTTTTTTCTTCCAGTAGTAAGGTTATGTGTTTGATAAGATTTGAGCGTCCACTCTTGCYGCCAGCTCTGCTAGGGTCCGCTTTAACATTGCTGTATCGTTRAAGAAACATATAAAMACATTGCGTTCCATGGCTTTAAGGCTGTCTGATCGGAGAACCTGAAGAAAACATTACAGTTAARCATTAGAWTTGTGTAAAMTRTASTCACTACSCATGCTCAGTTCTAAGTCTATCCCACACGGCTTGTAATTATCAAAACGATATGTGTCTAACAGTTTTCTGTGTAATGTATTCTGTAAAGGATACCTTCTTTTTGCCTTCTATGTCTTTGATGACATCTTTGATTGACTTTTGAAGAGATGACAGAAGGTCTTCCAGTTGTACCAGTGTCTCTAATCTCTAAAAGATTTAAGATACAATAGATTTATGTTTTGTRCAAATCAGGTTAACAGTTCCTCAATGAGGAATGTTATACAGTTGGGGTAAACCTGGTTTTCACATATGAAATMAAACAGACAAGGGAGCATAGTTTTCATTGATTTGTCTGCTATTTCTATYGCCGYCATGTTTACRACAKWTGGCTAATAAGTCCCTCCCATCTCTTCTTCCTTMATGAGTGAAAACCAGGATTCCGCTACCAATGATCTAYCTCTCAGGGCATAATGCTCCTACCCCTCTCCATGTCAAKCACAAGGAAGGTAAGTGTTACAAACCTTGAGCACGYAACGTAATCTTCCAGGACAAGACAATAATTGAAGAAACAATGAAGCACGTACAAACCTGAAGTCCAGGATTATTATGAACTCTAGTTTTGCTTGAGTTGCTGTAAAATGCTTTTTGACATTGTTGAAGTGTGTTTTCTCTGTGAAAGAAAATAGAATGAGATTCGAATCTGTTGTAGACATTGCAGAGTGAATTTGCTGACAAATTATTAATTTTTCAATCAATTCCTTGAGAATCAGAAGACAATGAAAAAAACACTAAACATGACCGTCATTTGTAATGAAAACAAGCCATTCAACACTGCTTTTCAAAACAAAACAAAACCAAACCAAGTTGATGATACTTAACAAATAAATAGGGCTCAGCTGTGGTTTATACTCTGATAAATGCATGCTTGGCATTTGAAACACACGAGAAAATGTCAAGAAGCACGAGCTGAAAGTGAGCAAAACTTAAGCAAAAATCCATTTTGTTGCCTTATTCAAAAATAGCTCGCGCACAATTGTGGTTTATACTCTCATAAACCACACTTTTTGGCCAATCAGAGCGCGCGTTAGAAATCATCTAGTCTATATAATAAAAACAATATAGTCAACTTAGAAATACTTTGTAAATGAATTACTAACATAGCTTAGTGTGATATCAGTTGCTTCTCTACAAACTGCAAAAAGAAGTTGTCTACTCACAATCTTCTTAAGACATCAGTCTGAGCATGTTCAGTWGCACCTACTGCTGACAACAAGGCTTGCAGTCTCTCAACTAAGCCACAGGTCCATGTCAAGATCTGGCCATACATCTGGAATAACTGGCCATCGCGTGATTCACTGGTATTCAAGGGTTCTAAGAGTTTATAGATGTGACCAACAAATATGTCACGGCTGTCTATTGTACCACGCTTTGGATCAACTGGATGGAAAACTGGGTTATCCATCTTTTCCTTATTAGTAYGAATCAAGGAAATCAAGCTTAACCGGTTTAACAAGTTTCATTCAAGAATAAAGCAATAAAGGAAGGTTATAGTGCTAGGAAGGAGGTTATTCCGGGAGAAAGACCCTTGGAAATAAATTAGGAAAAAAACAATTACCAAACCTCGCATTTATATCTTTTCATTTAAGAAAAGTTGAGTTGCGATCTCTTTTACACTGTGTCAACTGTAATGTTTAAATTATGCAAAGATTTAGATAAAACTCGTGCAATTTTCAAACTATTTTCATTGTCTTCGATCTCAAATGTCTATTTGCACGCAGGCAGTTTACTGAATAAAAGAATATAAAACATGGCTAAAAGTGTTATTCCATGATGCCATCCATGATATCCACTGTGCCTACACCTGAGATGTTCAGTTWTTATTCTTTATATAAATTTAAAGGATACAAGACGGGTTTGTAAGCTGATTAAATTCTGCTGCAAGCCTGACTCCACAGCACTRAGAAGTCGATGTGTTTCCCTTGTCTTGAATGATTCAACTTCAAGAGCCATAGACAGGAACTCAAACCTTGACCTCTGATACAGAAGCTGGTTGATTACCTGATAAAGAACAGAATGACATTATGAATGATTGTATATAGCTATTTCAAAAAAGGTTGTCGGATAAAATGGCGAATGTCAATGGYYGAATGGCGATTGCACGACCGAAAGYAGCCCTGAGTTTTGCTATATGAAAGGCAATAACAACTGATTTSTACTGTAAGATGGTCTGCGGTAAACWTTGGCTCCATTTAGTCTCTATTTCTTTGTAAGGTGAAYCCAATAAKTGACATTTTGTGTAACCATAGTCCCTTTCKATYGTGCAATCTCCCTTCAACAATTGYTGTTCTCCCTGACAATGTTWTTTTTTAAATAGCTGTATATGAACTGAATCAACAATTTTCATYAAATACCTGGTCTTGTTTTGATGTAAAATAGTCCTGCCTTGATATTTTCAAATCATAGTCTCCTTCTAAGACTTTTGTTGGTTGTAGYTCGGCCAGTTCGTGGATAAGAGGTGGAAGTGTTGTTTTTGTTATCTTTGCAATATCATCTTGAACATCTGCAAGTGCTTTTTGGGTTTCACTTACTTGGTCCCTGATGAGGACACATTTTGTTAATTTTGAAAGATGTTTACTGACAGATCTGGTTTGTTCAAAGCTCTTGATTAGTGCCAATCCTGGGTTAMCTTAAAACAACCTATGGAGTTAACTGGGCTTTGAATGACCCTGCTTTGCTGTTTTGTACAGATAAATGGATAGCCAGGGAAAGGAAATCAAGAGGAAAGGAACAGGGTACTTACCGAAGAGAAACTACATCAGCAGCTTGTTGATGATGAAGCATTGATTTCTGCTTTGCTAATTTCAAGGCTGCTTGGACTCCAACGGCTGAGGCTTGTGAATGAATCCTCTGAGTCTCACTTGGAATGAAACTAATATCGATATTAAATAAATTAATTTGGAATAATTATCATAAATTAATTTGGAATAATTATCATAAATTAATTTGGAATAATTATCATAAATTAATTTGGAATAATTATCATAAATTAAATTGGAATAATTATCATAAATTAATTTGGAATAATTATCATAAATTAATTTGGAATAATAGTCATCATAATCTTACATTAATTTGAGTCTTGTCAACTCTTTACAGTCATTCATAGTGACTTCCTCATTCTCTCCTGAGATAAATCAATAATAACATGTTCCTCAGCAATAACAAATATCTATACTAACATATAAAGACTCTATACCTCTTATAAGAAGGGATGTAGGATCACTAATCTCCAAAAGGTCATATCTTGACTTGTCACTTCTTCCACTCATATCAGCAATACCCTGATTACAAAAATATAGCAAACACTTATGAATAATTCATGAGTAAAACCAAAGGAGATAGATGTATTATTTTACACAACCAGAGGTTTGTAACTATTGATGGAGATAGCTAGAATACCATATCATTACCTCAAAAAACTGTTTCTTGGTGTAAGTAGTAAGATCACTTGTAAATATTTCCTCAGAATCAAAGTARTCTTTGTAGCTAAGTTGAGAGAGAAATCCTTTCCTAGTTTTCTTGTCATCTGGAAAATTCAATGAACCACAATTGACAAATGCATTATCATTCCCACCTTATTAAATCAATRTCTACTATTGATCRTTTTYAACCATTCCCATGAGATTCAAAAGATAAAAGACCGGCGGCCATGTTGGAGGAATGAACAATAGATACTAATRAGAAATCCTTTGTTKAAGTTCCTCCAAGATGGCAGCTGTGACGTAACTTGAAAACAAAGAATACCTTCTTTATCACTGTTAGTATACAATTTGGTCACGCTGCAAACAGTTTCTTGAAGCTCATTAAGCATACTATCCATCTTCAACAAGAATAAAATAATATTATTGTAAAATACATATTTTCATAACAAGGAGGCAAAGGCAAACTGGAGCCTTATTTCTACCTGTTTGTTAACATGCTGGCTTTTYTCTAGTAAGCTCTTGTACTTTTGCTTTTCTTTCTTTGCRATATCATTGACTTGATTAAGCTTGTGGCTTGMTTTTGCTTGATGWAGGCTGAAAAAAGATTTGTAGTCAAATTCTAGTATCCATGGKTGTTKGGTTTCCTKTGTTAAARAGCRCAYMAGGCCMAACASTTAYATTRATCAGTCTAGACAAACTWCGAAAATTTAATAAGAGTAGATKTAAGATTTATTGTTGATCTAGCTGCAGAAAGTTATGTGACTTGATTAAATGTCAAACAACAGATGTCATTTTAATAATATTTTGTATGAAATTTTACCTCAATGTATTTCTTTGAAAAACAAGATTACTTAAACGCTTATCAATAGCTTCTTGTTTCTGTTTTGCAGTTTCAATTTCATCTCTGAGATATTTTAACATAATTTTATGATTAGTCAATCAATTGGACAATGAATTGGACCATCAATCAATCAACCAATCAACTAACCCATCAATCAACCAATCAATCAACTAACCCATCAATCAACCAATCAATCAACTAACCCATCAATCAACCAATCAATCAACTAACCCATCAATCAACCAATCAATCAACTAGCCCATCAATCAATTAATCAATCAATCAACCAATCAACTAACCTATCAATCAATCAACTAGCCCATCAATCAATCAATTAATCAATCCATCCATCAGCTTATAATCAATTGAACACTATTTCATAAAAACAGTGAAAACTATTACCTTAGTGAGCCAATAGGGGTACTCTCTAATCCAGAACTATGTGCATTAGATAACACTTCATCGAGTTTATCCCCCTATAAAAAGTTGGCCTTTTTAACCTTTGTCATTGTAATCGAGTTTGTGATAGTTTGTGATGGCAAACACATGGCTGTAAAAATGGTTCAATACTGTAAAACGTGTGTATTTGCATGCATACCTCGATAATTCCTTCTCCAGAAGAAACTAAATCATCGAATCTGCAACAGATTTCCAAGAGTTTTTAAAACTATTAAGTTAAGCTTAACGTCATTCGCTTGACAAGAAAAATCCAGGAAAAAGTGCACGTGAACGACAAGAATTCGTACAATCGTCACTCAAAACAAATTGTATAATATGTTATTGTTTATTCAGTATTACCTTTCAAGTTCATCGTCAGTAAGTACATTTTCTCGAGCAGTATCAGCCTCTATAACTTCAACAAACCAATCCAAGAAAGGCAAACAAKTTTCGTGCTCAAACATCCACTCTATACTCTCCCCAGTAAGATCTTTAGCTGTTGGGCAGCCGATRGATTGTAAAGCACGAACTAGACGATCTCCTTGACTCATATTCGCTAGTTTATAGTCGTACGTTTACATTCTATGCAAGAAATGTTACATTTTATGTACGTTTCGACTTTGTTTTGAGATTGAAATTTTCCCGCCGAATTAGAACCTGGAAACGACATTGATATTGCGCATGAGCATTGAGGACAGACAACAGGAAACCCGCAGAAAATTTATGCTATTTTTACCTTTGAAAATTACATAACCTCAAAAATGACTTGAATAATACATTAGTTATCAAATATTATGTTTTTGAAACTTTGATTGAGATTCCCGTTAACATGGGCTTCGAAAATAAATTGGTATCATTACTCATTTATTCCAATGTGCGGTCTTCCTGTGTATTTGCTGATTGGATCCCAGTCTTARCCGAGACGTATTTTCCAAGATGGCGGACGGAGGAAAGAAAAAAATGAAAACCGCTGCTGAGCTAGACGAAGAACTGGATCAGTATCTTGATAAACTAATGGCTAAAAAGAAGTCAAAGTACAAGGATGGTCTTACCGAAGAAAATTGGGAGCAGGTTGTTAACAATTTTTAGGAGAAATGAGAAACAGGCGCGCTCGATAATTTTCTGTGCCATGTGATTTTTTGATAGTAAACGATCGTATATTGAACATTTTGCATTATTTCTAGGAACTGGAAAATATACCTTTTTTCAGAACCAAACCTCTAGAAGAAGGCGAAGAAGTTAGCCCTGAAATAGCTGCGCTTCAAGCCTTGAAATTTGAAGATGAAAACCCTACCGGTAAAGTCCTCGTTTCTATGATCTGTTCAATATGTTGATGTAAGTAATGATTTATGATAAATATACTTTTACTTTTATTTCAGCACGAGCAGAAGCTTTTAAAGAGGAAGGCAACTACGAATACAAAAAGAAGAATTTCAAGAAAGCCATTCTTGCTTATACTGAAGGCATCGTGTCAAAAAGCGATGACAACAATCTCAATGCAATTCTMTACACCAACAGAGCAACGGCTAATTTTACAATAGGTGAAAAAATATTGATGTGATTTCAACATTTTTCAATGCTGCATTTTWGTCATTGTTGTATGAACTTATTCCCATTTTTCTTTCATTCACATTCCCAGTTATTCATTTTTTATACCCTCTCTTTATTAATCTAATCTTTACCATCTACCATGAAAATCATAGGAGTCTCTTTGAAGCTGTTTTAGTGTTGGGRTCTCTGTTTCAGGCAGCCATTTGTTTGGTAGTGAGGGGTCCCAATAGTAGAATACCTCTAATTCACAAGTTTATGGTTGTTCTTTATCAGGAAATCATAGATCTGCTCTCAAAGATTCCCTTCAAGCTCGTAAACTGAATCCAGAGTACATGAAAGCCATTGTCAGAGGTCTGTATTCRAATTATTATTGAATTTACTATTAACTGATATTTATCATGAAGTATATACACTGTAATACTGTATATGAAACTAAAGATGTTTATATTTTTCATTTGTCTTTTTCAGGTGCAAGTGCAAGCTTTAACATTAAATTGTATGAACACACAATACGATGGTGTGATGATGGACTGAAGATATCCTTTATTATAACTATAATCCACTTTTAATATATTTTATAACAATCACAACAAATGTACTTTTGTTGAATGTTGAATCTTCTTGACATCAACACATTGAACCTCAAAACACCAAACTTCAATCTCTAAGAAAAGATGCCGCKGTAGAGCAGGTTAGTKAGAGATTCRACKRCTTTGAGTTTCTGTCTTAATACTAATTTGTACAGTTTTAAACTTGAAGAAAAAACAAGAAAGAGAYAGAAGAAAGGCAAAGCAAGTAAGACGAAAGATGTATGAAGAACGGTTTGCTATAATCAAAGAAATTAAAGTAAGTTTTCTTAGTRTTAAAAACTGCTGAATTTCCAACTTGCTTTAACTGTCTTTGTAATGTTACCCTAGGAACGGAACATYCGTTGTGATCAAGCATCTCAAACACAAATTGAAGATGAAGAAGATGATGACATTGATGAGGAAGAACTCATACTTAAGAAACGATTTCTTGAACTTGACCTTGGTCCTTATCATCCCTCTGGTGCAACAGTGCAAATAGATGAAAACCACAAACTGTACTGGCCAGTGGTGTTTGTTTATCCAGAATACCAACAGTCAGACTTTATTGCTGCATTTTGTGAGGATCATTGGTAAATGCAACAATCATTAATTGATTAGCTAATTTATTTATATAATTTCCATTCATTATTCCCATTTATTCATTATTTCAGTTGCTCACCAGATAGTCTCCTCTCAGCCGTGTTTAGTTTCAGTCACGCTTCACACAACATCTCTGCGTGATGCATAACGTGTGACCGAAACTAAACATTGCTGCGAAGAGACTGCTCACCAAACTGCCTGATTCTTTCTTTCTGTCACTCATATATTGTGTATTTCTGACTTGCTATAAATTTGACAATTTCTTTTGTTTTTTGTCAAGTTTCATGGATCATTTTGAAGTGATGTTTGGTAATGACTCGGCTCCATGGGATGAGGAATTCAAATATGAACCATACAAACTAGAGGTAATAAACTTGGTTCGTCTTGACCTTGACATAGGGAGGGAAGGATGAATAGGAATCAGAGTGGAAGAAGGGAGGGAAAAGGAGGAGAAATAAAGGAAGAAAGAAAGAGGAAAAGAGGAAAGGAAGGAGTAGAATAGGTGGGAGAAAGAAGGAAATAGAAGCAAGGATGAGAGAAATATTGAAGAGAAAAGTAGTATGTCTTGACATGTCCTTCTTGTCATACTCTGTCTCATYGYTGTATTTAGTGTTACTTTGAAGACCAAGAACGAAGCTGTCTGGTTCGCGTCCACAGTTCAACAACATTAAAAGAAGTTCTCTCTGACAAAAGGTGACCTTTGAATGCTTTCTTATCTTTGTGTTATTGTAGTTTGTGTTCATAGGCTTTTGCTACATAAAAGACCATGTATTTTTGTATATCATGAACCATTCAGCTTATAGTGCATTTCTCAATTAGTAATAAATTCTCTTTCAGACATTTTGTTTTTCATTGATAGGTACATAGTCCATCGTGGCACTCCTTCCTTTTTAATTCTCGTTCAAAATYCTCAATTTAGAGCAGACTTTCTCAAGAAATATTCTAAATCCGAATGATCAAAACTAGGTATTAAAATATATTTTGTAAATAATATTGAATTTTTACTTGTAATGTAAGAATAAAACCACATATTGGCTAATAAAAATGCTGAATACTATCATCAACATTTTGCAGTTTATTATTAGTTATAGATTTCTTTTGGTAAATAACTTTTTTACATTCTAAAATAGAGAAGACGTACTCTGACGTTTTTGTACATTGGTCATTGGGGGATCTTGGATCTTAGCCAGTCAGTGATCTGTTTTTCTTTAGATAAAATACATGCAACATGCCACTTTTTAATGTTACTTGTCATCAGAATGATATTGGCTCAACATGATGTAATATTTATAAGGGTTGATGGTGCACCAATAAACACCCCCTGAATCCCCCTGTTAGTCCTTCGTTGTACTTGAAAGTCTTTCGTTTTCATGGTGCGCCTTTACTAGTTATCAATGAGTAATGTGAACCTCAACTACATTTGAAACTACAAATACTTCAATAGTATCATTATCTTATACAATGTGACTATCACTCGTGATTTAAATCTACAAATTTACAACTATATTTTTGTTTTGGAGTTCAACCTTTCTAATTAGGCATCTTTCGTTTTTTTTTGGAAACCACTACTTTATGATTCATTGCTAGTACGCCATGTTTTGAAAAGATACTTGAGTTATTTCGACTTTAAGCTTCAACGTTTAAGAGATATATTTGTTGAAGCTTTCGTCCCACATTCACAAGCTTCAGAGTCGCAGTCTACAAGAAACCTTTCCTTGCCTTTCAGCCAAGAAAYAAAAATCTCTATTAGCTTGACGGCCAGGAAGGATACAAGTGTATCTAAAACGTCAAGTGTCAGCCCAGTTTTTGAGAATCTAGTATGGCCCATGAGTTCATCAAAGAGTTGATTATCCAGATATGTGAAAAGATAAATTTAACACCGTAAAAAAGTATGTGGAAAAACTTACTGACGTTTCGGATGTTAATCCTTCGTCGGAGTAAAGAGCATTATCCAGAGCCTTTCCTTGGATGGCCAAAGGGTATCAGACATGACGCGAACCAATCAGCAGCAAGATGCCTAAGAGAGCCAATCAGAGGGCAATACGTGTTTATCAATCATTGGTTGATCAATACCTATGATGGTCGTTCACGAGGCTATCACGGTCCAGTAGACCGCATTGAACACAGAGAAAGCGAATGGGAACAGTAATCGACACATTCTGTTGACAATAATCCCAAAGTCGGCCTTTGTGACGTTGGCAGGAATMCCGCAAAGGCTTCTGCTTAAACTGCGATTCATCACAAGCTTTCCCTTCCTATGGTGGATACGGCTGCGCATGATCGGGTAGACAGCGCCCTGCGAGTCAGCCACGTAGTGCGAGATGTGATTCCTCATGTCCAGGTCTTCTGGTGTTGTCTGGAAAATGGTATAACAATTAGTGCAAGGAAAAGAGTTAGTAAACATATATCAGCAATTATAATAGATACACCAGCCATATTGACACTTACAGTTACTACTAGCTATTACGCATGCTCGCATATGATTTTCGAGTTCATCCCACATGGCTTAGTGGTTTCATACTAACAGTACTTACTGTTGGTGACTCCATTGAATTTGGTGTTGAAGGACGATTCTGCGCTTCTTTGTCTAATGGCAGCGTTACYCKGTCCTTTCTCGTCATTTGATTAAGCATGAAGATCAGAAGACACGTGATCAGGGTAGTAAAAACAAAGAGAAAYGATCCCATTAGATACCAGTCTATCATCTTCGGATAACTGACGCGCGGCATGGTCGAATTACTGGAACCAAGTAGGAAGACAATAGTCAAGATGGTCGTGATTCCAAGTGAAATTCGTTCACCAATAGAATTACAGTCCATCCAGAACACTATCCAACTCATTATCACCATGACAACGCACGGGACGTAAAAGTTGATGACGTAAAACCCAAGGCGACGTCGAAATGTGAAGGACACTTTTAGGTTTCTGTAAGGACCTGRAATWKAAKGTTAGTTAGGTCTTTCTCACTCAATACAGACTGCAACGACTACACAGTTTGATGTAAAGCTCGGACTCCGCCATGTTGGAATGGGTTTGTAGGTTATTCGGGCAATTCGGGAAATGTTCGGATACTTTCCGTACCTGCAACATAATTTTGGTCGATCTCTTCAATCTCCCATTTATCCATATCAAATTCAGCAAGTTCCTTGTTAAAGATTTTGATTGGATTACGTCCTTTCCAGTGAAATGCTACGTGATTGTTTGTATAAACGACTATCAAAACAGAAAATACGAATAAATATCAGTATAAGGCAAGAAAAACATGGATAAATTACGAAAATCGTGTTTTTTTATGGTCGGACAATAAAAGTTACTTACAGCTCTCTAAGATCAGAGAACACTTCTGTACGTCCATCGGGAAGTTTTGTAGATACATTTGACAWGACGCTCTCACCAACATCCTACAGAACCATCAAATTGATCAACACTAATGAATTCTGAACCTTACATTTCGTAGACCCTAAGGTCAGTCACATTGTGCTTTTTCCTAGCGTTGCTTTATTGCTATCTCTTATTTAGAACGAAGGACCGTATATGAAATGATACGAGTACACTTAACTAAGGATGAAACCTAAACCTTAACATTGTAACCGCGAAAGTTTGCTGAAGAARGCCAAATGGCCGTAATGTTACAATAAAACAGTTGAAAAGCTACGAGTTGGTGTACTGTCCTACATTTACACTACTTATCATCAAGCATATAGTCATCCCATATAAGGGGAGTCACATGATTCTTTCCCCGCCAATCATACCTTGCGCTGAAGTARACTTCGCCATATTTGGAGATGAGAGCAAGCTGATTTTCTTGATGTAGCTCATAATCATTGTTGTTGTTGATGTACGTATCAGGGCGCCATATCCTGTCTACGTCCTTGCCCCCAAGTGATATGGTGCCATCCATTCCATGAGCTAACCTGATATCGGTCCATTCTTGTCGAAGGAACATTGAAGTTGTGAATTCCTTGAAATATAAGTATTATATATTACTTGCTGAAATGTAAGGTTGTAAAGTAAATAATAAGACTAATAAGGTTGTAAAGTAAAGATGCCACCATAATCAGAATGCGCGAAGCATCGGGTAACTCTGGCTCAAGTTATAATTGTACCAGTCCCTACCATGTTTGTCTCTTTGATGCTCGTGAARGCCTGGACACCAATGCTGAGATAAACGTCGACTGGTTTCTCTGTATACGTAATGGAATCAATAAACAACCAACCAACTAAATAATTATATACAACCAACTAACCAAACAATGTTACACCCTACCATACAACCAACATACCAATACACTTGCTGACCAACCAACCAAACCAATGAACCCTACACTGACCTGCCAGTGAAACCCATACAACAACATTTAACATAAAACCTACCGAGACCAACAACTTATTACTTATTACCAACAATGTTTTCCTAACTCACTTCCGACTAACCAACCAAACGGTGACCAACCAACCAACCAACCAAACAGCGACCAACCAACCAACCAAACGGTGACCAACCAACCAACCAAACAGCGACCAACCAACTAACCAAACGGTGACCAACCAACCAACCAAACAGCGACCAACCAACCAACCAAACGGTGACCAACCAACCAACCAAACAGCGACCAACCAACTAACCAAACGGTGACCAACCAACCAACCAAACAGCGACCAACCAACCAACCAAACGGTGACCAACCAACCAACCAAACAGCGACCAACCAACTAACCAAACGGTGACCAACCAACCAACCAAACAGCGACCAACCAACCAACCAAACGGTGACCAACCAACCAACCAAACGGTGACCAACCAACCAAC